AAATCTCGCGTTTTGTATTCTGGAAATCTTTCCAACCAATTAAGTATAAAAGTAAACGAATCTGCTGCAGTCTGTCGATCTCCAGTTACATAATCTGACGTCGTGTTCGAGTAAGAAAATCCAACCCCAGCAGGAGATTCCAAGAAGATGACATTGGCCACTGTATTAACATCACAAATTTCAACATTGCTGAAAAGTTGATCTTTTTAAAACTAGTGATGGATACTTCTAAATATTGGATAAGTACTTAGTAATTACCGTTATTCCATGCATATTTGTTTTCGGATAGAGTTCTTGCATCAATATTGACCCGAAATGGTCCAAGCTCCCTCATTGCACCATTTCCAAATGAAGAGCATCCAGGTCCTGCCAATCCATTTATGTGAAACACGGTTGCATGCAAATCGATCTTAAGTAGAGCACGTGATTGAGACGAATCTTGTTCATAATAAGAGGAAAATCTGACAAGACTTTACCTCCATTTAGCCACAGCACAAGAGGCTTGCTAGAAGAGTTTTGGGACTCAGCAAAATAGTAGAAGAGTGCTCTACCGGCCTTAGGATCAACAGTCACATATCCCGAATACTGATCAAAGTTCACTCCATTTGGCTGCCCTGGCAAGGCCGTGATCCTGTTGGCTTCCTTCAACCCATCTTGAGGGCCGATATAGACCGGTGAATAATCAGATTTTGAAGCTTCAGGAACAAAATTGGCTGACCTCTTTGCCCTTTGAGCCTCTAAAATCTTTCCAAGAGGATCAAAACCTATGCCTCCATAACATTGTACATAGGACACAAGGAAGAGTAGTAAAGGGAGTAGAAGCTGCATCTTTGATTTCCAACAGGAGTGCTGTTTGATGGATGCAATTATCATCTCTTTATATAATCCTGGTAGCAAAGTATTGTCTATTTTGGATTAGGCTTGGATCTGCATAGCATGAGTCGGATAATACGTTTTAAAACCGTCCGGGTCTAGTCCAAAGTGGACAACATTGTACAATGGTGATCCTAGGCATTTACATGTTTAACGCTTTTTTTGGTTTGTTTTACAGCTTAATGATGTTCTCAATGATGTTTGTTTTTTGCAATGTTTTTGTGGTGACTTACTTTGGTTTCTTCAAACATTACAGCCAACCCAAACAATAGGTTTGGGGAGGATGACAAGAGAGGTGTTGGAGAGCAGGACAATGGTAAGCAAAAAAATCAGAAATTTTTTTATACCTGTTCATTTTTTTTCTTGGTTTGCAAAAAAAGAGGTTGGATTTAGAAAGATGGTAAATGCTCTGAGTGATATACCACAGGTTTAAGTCCGAGAATCAATCTTGACATTGGGGCAAGACTTTTTACCATTGAGAAACCCTATTATGGCTGACTTAAAAAAGTTGTCACCATTCTAACGAGTAAACATAACAAAATGGCATACCTAGTGTACAATATTCCCGCCATTGTGGAGTTTTAGGAGGATAAACATAACACAAATTGTGAAAATAACCTTGTAAATATATTATGTGATAAAATTTTGCATTTCTTCGACACTTTTTCGGAATAAAAATGGTTGGGTCATTTCCAACCGGCAGTGCATGATCATTAAAGGCCAAAAAAAAAAATTATGTATATAGAATTAACTGAGGTTAAACAAAAAAATGTGACCCTCGTGGAACAAATAGTAGAATAAGATTCATGAAGTCAACTTTAAATAATTTAAACAAGACTTAGTTAAATTGGGTTGGGTCAAATCTAGTGCATGATCATTGAGATGAATGTGGTTCTTTCTCTGCTAGTTTCTCCTTTTGTTTCATTTCATCATAAGAAAACCATCAATATATCAAACAAAAAAGGGAGAACAAAACAAGAGTTAAGTACATAAGCAATCGATACAAAGGAGAGAGACAACCTTCAAAGGAGACAAAATCCCACCTTATAATTAATTAGACAAAAACCACGCCCATTTACAAGATCATGGGTCTTCATAATTCTTTGGTATCATCCACCCCAAAGTGACCACTTTAAGATTTTAGGACCCACTCATTGTTTTGAATAACTTTTCGTTGGTTTATGTTCTACTCCATAGGAGAATAACGTAGTATATTCACTTACACAAATCGAGTAAGAGGTGAATAACAAAATAAACTCCAAAATGACCCTCTTGAAATGTAAAAATAGAGATTGAACAATGTAGAATATAACATCAATCTCATATTGGTTGGGCAAGAAAGTTTTTGTGAGCATATATACCTTTAGTTTGCACTAAGAATTGAGCCACAAAGGGCGCCTCACTTTTGTGGAAGAGAAAGGACCCAGATGAACTTGGGTTTGACCACATGCGCATCCCCGCCTACCCCAATTTGGCCGGTCGGATGTGGGTGTGGTCTAAGCTTATCCTTTTTAAGAAAATTCTTTTGTTAACTAGGTGTGACGAAATCTTGTGAGTTCATTTTCACTTGGTATTTATGAGCAATGCAACAAAACGCATCAAGGGTTTGTCTTTAATGTTCATGGATTGCAAGAAAATCTCCATGTATTGCAAGATGGTCTTTATCTGCACTTACTGAAAAATTCCCTTGTTAAATTTGAATGTAATCTTTTAAATGCACAATTAGTGGGGATCAAATATCAATGGGTTGTTAATACTGGGGAAAGATTGGGAGAATCTTTGGGAAGACTTGGAAATCAATCATAGAGGTTTGAGTGGGGTCCGGTCAAGGTCATAAATTAAATTCCAATTCAAAGAAATAGGAAGTCCATCAAGCTATTGCATGCATTGGGTAGTATTGGGCCCACATAAAGGTGCAAGGGTTTATTGCACTTTGTTCCTAAAAATCCAACTATTTAATTTCTCACACTACACCATCAACTACATGAATTGGTTTCACATTATCTAATATATATACTTCTTTAAACTTTTGGACAAAAAACATCAACGTATCGGAAAAATGTGAAACAAAATCACATAATTTGGGGGCAAAAGGAATAATTTTCCATCAAATTCCTCCTAAATGTTAATTATTGGAGCAATGTAAAATTAATAATCATAGTTGAAGGTGTAATGAGAGAAATATGATAGTTGAGAGACAACACCACTCAAACTTCATATTTGAATAGAAAAAGAGTATAAAAGAAGCAAAATGCTTTTCATAATTTAATTTGTTTAATGATCATACATAATTGTCAAAGAGAATTTGGTTCTTTTCATGAGTTTGATGTCGATAAATCCAGAAATCTAGAAATTCATTTCAAACAATTCAACCTTATCCAAACTTAAACATTAAAAAAATTCACTTGACAGCTTACAAATTCATCAACTTACCATCACCAGAAGAATAGTGGTATGTGACCAAAAAAAAATGGCACTCAAATTCCAACTACAATTTCAATAAAGGTTTGCTATAAACATCTTCAACAGAGCCAAAGCTCTACATGGTTGGCATTTTGGAACTTCATGGCCAGCATCCCGAATTGTTGCGAAAGCTAATCCATCATAAACCACTTGATATCCAGCCACCTGCAGCATCAAAATTAACATCAGTTGATGCTCCAAGTAACAAGAATTCGAACAAAATGAACTTATTCGACCAGGGCAACAAATCGGATGAAGTCTGTGAAGAAACTAGAGAAAAAAACGACATACTTCG